CCTACAACAGATTTCAAAAAAACCTTACAACTCAACATTAACATAATTTATTAAGATAGTTATGCCTGACCAAGTTAGATAAACATCCGTAATTTAGTGGTTTAATTTTGATCAAACTATGAGATACCATTGAATGCTATAAATGTCCTTAGCCTACATAGTGGGTCCCATCAAGTACCTATTAAGCATAGAAAACGTTGTTCCTACGATGAATTAAAATCATTAACATAATCATTGATATTCCGAGTCTATTCGCTATTGGCTTCGATAGACTTATTCAATAGAGTTTATTGTCGCTATGTAGTATCGAACATTCTGTCAATTTGGTCAAGAATTTCAATGGATATTTTATATCGAATCGGTTAGTTGTTACGTATCTATTGGCATTTGTGAATGTTTAGTTAGATCTTTAGACAGAGATGGAGGATATCCACATATTTTTAGTGATTCAGTTTTAGGTTTGTTCTTCAATTTCTTTTATCAACTTTGCTTACAAAGGCTATCCTATTCAGCCTTGATCTAGACTTCATATTATAAAACCATGTCATAGAATTCACATACATGTTGGGTATCAGTGTATTGATAAAGGCTCGGGTCGTGTGTTGTTTGACAGTATAATTGATGAACGTGCTCACTCGCCTTCAGAGCCGACATTGTCCAACTAATCGTAGCTGGAACAATGGCGCCACTTGTCTTGGATTAGGGTTCAGCTAAACGTAATTTTACTGAATTATAAATGTTTTTCCTTTATGTTGCCAAGTGACCCTTATGTTTCCTTGAAAAATAGACATCAGATTTTGCAATATAATGGTATATTTTGTGAAGAAATAAACGGATTCTGTCTGTAAATTTACACAAAAGTTTCTTTACAAAAACTTATATCTACTGAATATTTACATAGGTACAATAGAAAATACACGAATGCAGACCGCCATTAAAGTGACATTTACCGGCGAATAAAAACGCTCACATATGGAAATTAATTCACGCTATTAAATTTTGTTTTTAAATTCATTTGTATGAATAAAGAGCCGATACAATCACGTGTTGTGTTGCATTAACACGTGGCTTATAGCTGCGGTTAATGCAAGAGATGTGGTCAATTCAGATGGTTATAATCTAACCCAACTAGACGTAAATACTATTAGTATTGTATTGTCGATTCATGGCAATGCCAAGAATTAAAGAAAAATAATTCAATGTTACTAAGTTTAGTATAATCCAAATGAACGCGATTAAGTCGAAGCACCTAAAACTTTGTAAATTTAATTATAAAGCTTATACAGCTGATAATTTACTGTATTCTGCACGGTGCTAGAATACATACGGAACCACCATAGCCAAAAACGCACCTAACCTAACAAATAAACTAACACCATCAACTAATTTGGATACCGATGTTAAAATTCGTTGTTTCCGTTCCATTCAGTTAATTGTAGTTGCATTGTTTTGTTGCCGCTGTGTTAAAAAATAACGTCCTCTACACTTGAATAATAATGAACTCAAAATATTGCAGACATATTTATTTTATTACTTCATTGTACGAGCGTACAACATCATCAGTTACGCTTGTCAAAATCATTGTGGTACTTACTATTGAGTATTTCCTATTAAAGTACGTACTTGGGCATTTTTTGTTCGTCAGTGATTCAACAATATCGTCTCAAACTGGTATTGACTTCGTAGAAAAAACATTCTCTACCATAACGAATGTCTGTTACATGATATAGAATTGGAGATAGGAACAGATCTGAAAGGGAGAAAATCATTCAGGTGCGTTTACCACAAACAATGCAACGCGTAAAACTGGGCATAATTGTAGATATAATTTATAGGCAACATTAAATAAACACGTTCATGTAATGATAAATACATAAACGTTAATAATAAAACCAATAAATAACGTAGCATTTATTGCTTATAACAAGTTGTACCTTATACCTGTACAATGTTCGTTTAATAAACCGATGTAGTTCATAGTATCATTGTAAGAATAAAGTCCATTAGAGACCCTTGATATTTTATTACTGTCTCATAAGTTAAGTATTTAACACATCCTCTTGTTGGTAAATCAATTTGACAATCATACTTCCCTTGGCCAGAATTTTAACCACCTTGCTCTAATTTTAATATCGTATTATTTATATGACCGTATTTACGACTAAGTTTGGTACCTACCTTGAGTTAAAATATCATTAAGGTCTTCAAATAGGGACTGTCAGACATTCGCCTACAACCGAATTAAAATCATGTAGGTCGGTGGTACATTGTCCGGTTGATCCTTGGTGGACATCCGATCCCAAAATAGTACAATGAGGATAGAACACAGTTTCATCTAAAAATAACGTGTAGGATAAAACAAGGTGACATTGTTTAGCTTTTAAACACAATTAGCAGATAAAGCAGTTTTTAATGGATTGTAATATTAACTTATCGTTTTCAGTGCTACAGTACTAACAAGATTAATTAAGTACCTACGCACCATTATATAAGTACCACATTTTTTTACAAAAAAATACAATCCTATTTGTTAAGTTGATATTTAACATTTCTAATTATGAAAACACTCAGAGAGATGCAATTAAGTTGACAAGCAACGTAGTACGCAGCGGGTGCGGCCAAAACTAGGTTACCCATTTCTCGTTAACTCAGTAGCGCCGGGACAAAGAGTCGTAACGACCTCGCCTTTATTGCACTCTAGCGACGTTTTAAACATATAGAACTCGACCCCTTTGCTTGCAAACTTATGGCAATCCCATTGCCCCTCTCCTTCATCCGTATTTATGTCACAGACGTAAGAAAGAGAGAATTTAAGTATCCCCATATAAAACTTTCGAGACGCTATCGACTTAAAGTGCGCTGAATTTGCGTCGTTATTTCTCTTTACGTGTAAAAACTTTAAGGCAATAAACAAGTATATCGCTGTTACATTACTTGGGGCATACAAAATTGAGTTTTATTAAAACAAAGGGTTGTACGATGTAATAACAAAAGAATTCGATTATATTATTGCTACACACCGTTTTTGAACTGATAAAACCACAGAAATATTCTTGCCGTGCATACATATATAATATAAAACGACCTAAGCCGAAGCCTACACAGTTTGGAGCGGATACATTTATATTATATTTCTTTTCCCTTTTCGGGTACGGACGTCCTACTACCTACCTAATATAATTTGCATATTCGCTTAAAGGCAGTTATGTGAGCCCACGCATTACTAGCTTCGGTTGAAATGATGCAGTCAAGTACCGAGTGACCCATTGTTGGCAGTGGGTTTTGCATAGCAATTGCAATTTTGAGCATAAAGTTTTCCTAGCTTCTCTGTGTTGTTGCTTTCTCCATTAGATTTGTGTGTTTATTGTGTGAACGTAAAATCTTACGTACAATCTTTGGCAAGTCGCGAGCTCGTGTTTGTACAGATGTGTTTCGTTTACTCATCAAACACAGTCATTGCTACTGATAGATTCAAGATTGCGTAAAGCAATTTTATCGTCCTTCGTTTTATGCATTGGAAACCTAAATCAAAGAAATCCTGAATTTCGAGTTATTTACCCATGAGAACATTTTTTCTTTAAATAATAATTCTATGTGAGACAGCTGATAAGGCTATTAGGCCTTGTCAATTTAATTAATTACACACTAATTGCACAATACGTGCAAAATAGAAAATAAAAGATATCAATTTACCTAATAAACATTTCCTAGTTTCTGATAATGTTTTGGTATTTACCAAATTACAATTGAATAATAGATATGAGCAGATAAGATAAATTTTGTTTTAATCAATAAGGTGCCATATTAACGGACATTTTCTGCATTTAGATAATAGAGAAGTTAATCTGAATTCATATTAACATGACAACGTACAGCTTTAGCCCAAATGATTGATCAGTAAGTAAATAGAACTGAATAAACATGAAGTATTAAACACAACTACTATTGATATGTACATAGTAAACCCGAAACAACACACAGTTGCGGTCACTGGTATCTTCATAACAAGGCATTATTTTCCGAGAACATCGTCGACCTTGGGGATGTCTGCCCATATGTGGTACCTCCATATTTCTGGCGTCGTGGCACATTTTCCTCGACTCCGCGAGTGGAATAAGCAAAACCGCCGCAACTAGGTTACACAGACTCTGTGCTTTATTGTGTTTACGTGCCACAGATATGAGATATACAGATACACAACTCAGGTCAAGGCGCCAGACAGCTTTCGAGTCAAGTGGCTATATATGGACTATTATATTTAGCTACTGTTTTGATTGACTGAATGTTCGTGTCACGATACATGTTCTAATTATAATTTATAATCCAAATCTCCTCATAACGTAGTCTCCTAGAATAGCGATAACATCGACACGGCATTCGTTAACTGCTTAATCCATACATGTCCTTGCATTAGCCGGCTCGCCACTAATCCTATAGATACCAGCTACACCGTAGATTGTCGAGCTACGGAACGAACAATAGACGACGCGGAAGAGCATTAAAATACGTCGTAAAAAAGTGCGCGTAGTTTTAAATTTTATGGCTAGCGTTCAATTGGGGCTTGTAAAAAAGCGTTTTATTGGAGTCGCATCCTGGCTGCGAGGTCGTGATGTTCAGATAGGTCTAATTAAAAACTCGCCGCGTGCACTCTTGCGAAAGCGGGGCCTCTGAGTCGCCTCTTGCGAAACACAAAATGCCCTTCAGTTGATTACTGGTAAAATTTTTAGAACAAGATTTACAGGCTCTAGGTATGCTGCTATAATATTACACAAGCTAAATTATTCGAGAGATATGCCTAATAATTACAGTTTCGCCGAGAAGCGATTTGTCAGAATCATTTAATAACCCGCTTTTATTGTAATGATAGTGATTACGAATGGGTCATGGTTCAAGATCCGGTTTAATCGTAGCCATATTTAGGTTATTTTAAATTAAGTTTAAGTATGCACATTTTCATGTTCAAGAGTTCAAAACAACTAACAGTTCTTTTTTTTTTCTTTTCAGATTGCGAAAACAGTGAAACGAACGTTACCCGCGAAGACTTCTTGTTAAGAAGACTAAGTGCCATTTGTAACAAGTTTACCACACGCAGTGATATTTAGTTATACGTTAGTGATAGTGCGTATCGTGATATAGTCATATACATACTTAATTTAGGTGCTAACCGCTACCGGTAATTTTAGTGCGAAAACGTTACCAAAAAGATACGAAACTGGCTCCATACAAGGATATAATGAATTCTACGAGCATGAGCTCCACGGTGCCGACAATCAAGTGCGAGGATACATCGCCATCGCCTTCGGCGCCCGTGGGCACGGACGGCGACACCGCCAGCACCTACAACCTTAGCGTCAACGTCAATCTCAGCGCTGCCATGATCAACATGCTGACGGCTGAAACCGCTGGCCCCACTACCCTCAGAACCCCCGAAATCGTCAACGATGTCATCACCATGACCAACCCTTTGGACCAGTACAACTACGAGAAAAATGCCAGTTTCAAGGTGAGCGACTTATACTTTTTTTGTTAGCACATACATATGATAGCTTGGTTTTTTATTACCGCACGTGCATGAATAATGTGAATCTCGAATGAAAAATGAAACGTTGTACCTATCTGAAGTTAATTATATAGTGTGCGTGCGTGGAATCATGTTGATACAGTAATAAGATTTCACTATGTACTCGTAGCAAGACATATCTAATGATATGAGCGTGAAGTCTTTCAGTGTTATTTTAGAATTTATATCTATTTTGTCAAAGTTTGTATAAACTTTGACAACTGGAGTATCTCCAGGAACTAAAACTAAACAAATGGGTGAATGCTTAAAGTGCACGACTTGAGTACTTGAAGTTCTCATTGTTATTCGTGCTTTCACGGAGCGGCTGGACGCTCACAATGCACGTAGGATCTTTCCAGTACTTAGGTCACATCCATGCACGCTCGTTAGAATGTAAAATAAGTGTTACAAGTATTTTGAACGGTTGCCAAGTCTAAGGTGCCACGTAACTATGACCACGTGACCAGCCATCACTCCCCCATTATAAACATTGGATAACACAGCATGCAGCAGCATGAGGTCATGCACCTTATGCAGACTCCTTATTTACTGTGTTTAGCAGCAGACTCAATGGCGCCGCGGTAACACTTGATATCGGGTTATCTATATTTAGTTATCGTTCTGCTATAGGTATACGTAGGTATTATTTGTAGTGTTGATTATCTCGACTCGTGCGCTGCCGTTTCATGAATGAGTTTCATTTCACTGAAACGTGAATGGCGAGCAATTTAGAGCGTAAAAACAATGGGACAGCGCGGACAATTATTTGATGCTAACCGTTTGATATGACAATTCGGTAGCATGTGTCATTTGTTATTGTACTAAAATTCCTTGGCCACAAAAATAAATAATTAATTTAGTAGCATTGACTAGTCCAATAAGTGTAAAATTGTGGAAGTATAAAACAGAAGAGCCTCAATTTCTAATTATGGTAGAAGTCTTAAGTTCGGTTGAGAGCAAATAACATTGAGCTAGGTACGAAAAAGTGTGCTTACCCACATGTGCTATCTCAAACTAAACTAAAGTATGAGGTAGCATGCCAACTACTTTAAAATTAAACATGAAGTTATTGTTAAGGAAAATGTTAAATTAATGTGGTTTACTCAATTACGTAACAAAGCAGCCTTAACTTCATATACCTAGCACATATGGCTACCAAAACCAAACTGCCACTAGGTAATACTTAAAAATAACTAAAAAAGACTGAAACTGAAATGAAAAGAGCTGACAGAAACTCTTTTGGTGGTGAACTAAAAACAACGCAAAAAAGGGCATATTTCTCAGTGTGTCATGACCCAAATAAAGGACATAAATGCATTGAAATGATCATTATGAAAACGTTGAAGATAAAAGAGACTAAAAGCTACTTCCGAACAAAAGGTGGAATTACATAAAAACGACTCGCCAGGAACTTTCGTGTAGGTATGGCGTTGGCTAATGGCGTTTGCGTGCAAACTGTCCCATATAACATAGGTACATCACACCTTTAGACAAAAGGCATCGAGGTGGAAAATATACCATTAGCGGTGTTCGGTCAGCGTGCAAAACAAGGTCTCATTTGCCCATATTATTTCAGAGTGGCAGCGGAAATGACTCCAACTCCTCCATGTCAAACGGCTCGTCAGCTACTTCACCAGCTTCAAGCACTCCGCCGAGTATACAAAAGGTAAATATCATCAAACGTTTAAATATATTAGAAGATAATAAGAATCCATGAACTTTGAGATTACTGAGTTATGTTGAGCGGATAAGTAGTAATTATGACAGTGAAAAGGCAAAGGCAAGTTATTTATAATAACTTAATATTTAAGACAACTAAATCCCACTAATTGTACATTCGTGTTCATCTCGAAATTTTTTAAAGAGTCGTTAAGAGTTGATATATAAAGAACCAGTATTATTCATCCTTGCACTTTTATGATGTCTCCAAAAACAAAAAAAAACTTTTGGCGGTCATTATCTTTTTATTTTTGGCTCTCATTTGAAACATACGCTTGTTAGGCCCTCGCGGATTTAAGATTTGTGGAGATCTCGTATCGTAATTTCAAATTATCATGGCCTGTTTTACATGTTCCCAGTATATTTCCTCGTAATAAAGAATTTGTAATAGATCTTTGCCCAAACCGAATTTGTATAGAAAAAGATATCTGACTTTTTGATATTTATAGGCTAATGTCAAGTGCAATATGCCTACCTATAGAACTGTTGTTCAGCTTTTGCACTTTCCATAAACATGCGCGTAGAGGATGAATAATTTGTAGATTTCCTTTGACCTCGTATTCAAATTAACGTTATTAGTGTCTATTGAACGAATCGACCAGTTTTTTCTTTAGTAATTTACGTAGGCACAGTTCCAAAGGCTAGGTAAGGAGGGTCTAGACAATGGGCGGACGTTGAAAATGTGAGAAAAACAAACCACCTTGATAATTAATAATTGTAATATCAATCGTGTGTTTATTTTTTCTCAGACTTCAATTGGAATCGCACAATTGTATGAAATCGTAATTGCATTTCAACATTCTCGTAATACTCATGTATTGAGAATACATCTTCAATTATGACCTTGAGCTCTTAAGGAGTTATGATTCATTGGAGAACAGGTGAAGTGCACATAAATAATTTACACACTGCAATATTGTTATTTTGAAGTTGTGCAACATCTCTTATTGAAAGCATCGTTTTATAACTTGATTAAAACTTTAATTGCAGCCTTTTTGGAATGAATACGTTGGATTTTGGAATGAATGAATACATATTCGGTCAAATTACTCGGTAGTTAGTTGAGTTGAAGCGCTGGTAATGTAGAGCTATTATACGAGTAAATGTAAATTGCGCACGTCTCCATTTAAGTCAACCTGTTAGAATCTTGACGGTACACTTGAGAGGCAAGCATAAGATTGTTAACACGCCGATTTCATAGTAATAGCTACAATATTTTAAATAATTTAAGAATTGATAGAACATGGTCAACACGATAAAAAAGACGAAGTTACGTTGAAAAAGTAGTTACTTGGGCATTGGACAGAACGAATTTTTACTCAGTATAATGTATTGTCCTTTATATGAAACATGCAAAATCCTTAACGGCCTTATTACAAAACAAGGTTTTACTTTAGTCTAGGACTAAACCATTGAGCCAGTTTTTGTATTTCGAATTGGAGGTGGATGACAATAAGATTCAAAATTCAAAACCCGACTCAATGGTTTAAACCTGGACTAAAGATAAATCTTGTTTTGTAATAAGGGGGTAAATGTTTTGTATGCCTACTCAGAAACTTTTATAAACGAAGATCGTTTATAAAACTTTCGGAAAGTATCTGAGAAACCCAATTTTCATTTTCCAGACGTGTTCGGAACTAATAAAGGCTGGTCTGAAGTTGTCGATAGAGTCAAAACGGAAGATGTCTGGGAGCGACACGGACGTTGGCATGAAGCGGATGAAGAAGGAGGAGAGTGATGACGACTACGACAGTAGCCACACGCTTACCAACAAGTCTGATGGGGTGAGTATATTCGAAACTATAGATAATAATGATATGATAGTCTTAAAACATTTTACTTTGGGTCCACGGCTAGCACCTATATACCTATTGGTACATATGTAAGTGCATATGGGCGCACTGTCAATTATAAAGAGAGGTTGAAGTAGCAAGAGGTTGCAGGTTGCAAGTATCATCCCATGTATACATATGGAAAGGCGGAGGCCTTTAAAATCATAATATACTAAGTACTCGCTGCCATTACGCAAAAAAGGAAAACATAACTCAATATAAATATAGTATAAACTTATACCTAAAGTTTCGTCAACAAAGCACATTTTAAGCTAACTGTCACAAAAAAGTGTTCGAGTTTAAGTAAACTTTAAGCCTTTGAAAAATTGACAAGAAATAGTAAGAATCCTCACGAAGTGATCCCTCTGTTATGATAATAGCCGCCAATACAAATATTAAATACTCTTTTGCTTAAATACGGAAACCTTTCTTAATTCTGTGAATAATTTTAGATTGTCGAAACATATTTGCTTTTATGGTAACACTTCTAACCGCAATGATGCTTGTAAAGCAAAGCTTCAACCTCCGTGGCAACAGTAGGTAATGTACCTAGCACTGCTATTTAGTCACGTAGCCATTTGTTAGCAAGGAAAACGAGGGATTCACGTGTCGAGTACACTATTTAGATTAAAAACATGTGATTTTATAACTACAGTTAGTAGGTATCCGGTATGCCTGTGTAACAAATGATCCGAAAGTCACACGTACCTTCTTCCACCTCTTAGTTTTTAATAATTAGATATTAATTTGCATATCCGCGAGGCCGGATGGCGAGTGTACTAAATTCAGTGACTTCTGGACTTCCAATACAGAACGCATTAGGACGTTGGACTTCAGGGAACATTAAAATAAATACACAGTAGAGTTTATCTTATTGCCATATAATTGCAAAAAATAATTAAAAACAGCAATGACGCTGGATTACCCTAGGTACCTATTGGTAACTTTATGGTTTTGCGAATACCTATTCCAAGGATAACCGTTATCTTTCCTGTTCCAATTGACACACGTTACCCATCATCTCATTACAACTTCGTCCGTGATTATAAAAACTGATCACACGCCCAGTTATGCATATTTATTATTCGAATAATAAAATCATTAGAGCCACTCCTAGAATTGTTTTAAACGTTCAAGGGTCACTTCATTCATTCATACATATGCTATTCGAGGTTTTGCTAAATGCATATTTTATGTCCAAGTTTGCGAGTAGTATGTTACCGCGTTACCGCCCAACGACTGCACTTCTCATGTAGCCGCAATAAATAAAGATGTGTGCGGAAGATTGCAAATCGTATCTAAACTAACTTTTATTGCGAATGCGCAGCATTGTAATTCAACGGCTTCATTGAAGTTTTATGAGCTTACGAAGAAGGCATCGCAAATGTGGCAATGGTCGTGACTTCACTTCCTGATTCTGAAAGGTAGCATTATGGCAATGAGAAATGATCGGCGTATCGAGTAGCCTTACTTAATGGGCCGGGCTTTGGATTGATTATTCTTTTGTTTAGCCATTGTATTATGCAAATTTTCGAAATACGTGGGCAGGTTATACGAATTAGAAGGAACTGTAGTTCGATAAAAATTGAATATTAAATGCTGTCGACATTAGTCATGAAAGCAACTAGGTAATCAAAATACGATTTGATAGTAAATGATTTATCTATAGGTAGAGATGATTTGTATAGCTTAACAATTTGTTAAAAAACTATATTTTCATTGCAGCTTACACCAGAGGACGAGGAGCGCAGGCGGCGTAGGAGAGAACGAAATAAGATAGCTGCAACAAAATGTAGGATGAAGAAACGTGAGAGGACGGTCAACCTGGTCACCGAAAGCGAGGTGCTGGAGAATCAGAACATAGACCTTAAGGCCCAACTTAAGGTGAGCCACTGTGTTTTTATTTAGCTACAAAGTGCAATGAATTGCCAGATCTTAATTTATACCTAGTTTTCTGGTTGTTTAATTTGTTTAAATCTTCTTTAATCTTGTTAATAGAGTATTTTTGTTAAAAGAGGTTCATTTGGAAAGAATCCGTAGGTACTTAATCCAACACAACACAAATGAAAAATATAATTTTTGAACCCATTTCACTACGAAGATAACTTTAAGTGACGCTCGTAGACTACGATAAGAAATAGGAGTCAACTACTTATTAGTGATAATTTGAGCACCGTCGACGGCAAATACGATAAGTAACTAACCTAAAACTAAATAAATGATAGCTGTGATAAATATTTCTATTTTCTTGCAGGACTTAGAAGTTCAAAAGCGTCGGTTGATGGACATGTTGACGATCCACGCAGCGTCGTGTGTGAAGTCAAACAATTCCAACACGAGGCAGTCTCCAACAACGCCGTACAACATGATCGGCCCCTACGACTCACCGACAACATTCCCAGTGTCGTTCGACGCGCACTCTCCCTACATCCGACCAGAGTCGGCCAATATACTCACGTCCAGCTATACATGTGTCACCCCACTTAACGGGGACTCTTCTATCGACACTATATCGTCCTTAGATACCATCTATGTTGCACCTCAGCTGACAGACCCCGAATACAATCGACCCGACAGTGTTCTCAGTCTGCCACCAGCTTCGGAACGCAGTTACGTCACCACAGACGGCTACCTGCCCAAGTCTACGAATCTTCTCGTCCCGATCGACTCAGAACAGGATTATTATGATCCTGAGGCGAATTATAACCTGGGGAACCAGCAGTGCCACACATACCCCAATACGATCCCCGAAGCGACAAGCAAACTCAATAACGGCCTTAATGATGGATGCCTCGTGTAGTTAGATCATCCACATTATCAGTAATCATTTTTTGTCGGGTCCAAATTTATTTTCGACATGTATACGTATAATTTAAGCATTGGAGTTATTAAAATTCGAAATAGAGTGTCACCGTTTATAATAATTCCATACGATCTTCCAAACATAGCTTATATCTACAATCTACATGTTACATAAACGTTTTCTCTTTAATATTTTGTTACATAAAACTTATTTTTCAATTCGGTGGCAAAAATTTTGAGAATTATTTTTATAATGTACGAATTATCAGAATAACAATAGAATATACTACATAATTTTACTTCAGTCAAATCACTTTTGTAATAACTATACCTACACAACAGTTGTGATAAAACATTAAAAACCTTTTTGTATTTCATAATAAAGCTTCATAGTGCCAGAAAAAAAAAACGACAAAGGGCGGGGAAATTTATTTCGAAACGAAATCATATGTCTACTGTGTAGAACAACAACGTAGAGATAGTTTGGTGCCTGTATAACGTAGCTAGTATGTATGATTAAGAGATGGAGTGACATTTAGAGTCCAAACCAACCATGAACTATAAAAAACATTATTAAAAAGAAGAAATAGCAAAAAATAAAATTCTAAAACTCATCAAAAAAGCACAAACAATATTCAAATGAAACGTTACTTTTCTTTTAGTGTTGTGAACTTAGAACTCCCTATTCGATTGTAATTATGACTACGTTAACACGAAGCAGTAACTGTGTAACAGTTATTTAGGTAGGTATTTCACATAATATTTTATTTTATATAAGTGTCTAATTCTAACAATTACCATTCGTTTTAATTTTTTTTAAGTTCTATGGTTTTGCTTTGATCTGTTTAAAATATTTGTTTATTAAGATCTGATTTAAACGGTGCAATGTTGAGAACGTTTTAGTATTACCATTGGTGTCTAGTCCACATGGGTGACTTGAAAATATGAATGAATGGAAGTCCCAAATACATCACAATACATAGCCTTTAACTTCCAGTACAATGATAGATATAGTAATACAGTACCTCCTGTTGAAATTCCAAAATTATATATTTTTTGTTACAGAAGTATATTCACAGATTATAATAATGAGATATATTCCACATATTATACATGTGTTACAATTCGTGTAAGGTAATATTAGTTTTAAGGTGCTTTAACTCAAAGTAAGTCGTGATATACCTAATATTATCGTAAGTGCAACAAGCGTTACTTGTTACGAACGATAATCAATTAATTTTAAGAACTTGACATTTCTATAATTAAGATTGTACATGTAACGAATTGTATGTGCACACAAAGCAACATGACGAATTCTACCATTTGTCACATGTCATTGTCATGCGACTAAAAACCTTATTGTATATTACACAAAGACAAAATTAATAAAAAATAACAAGTGGCATATGACTATGATGAATGGACTAAATGTATTTTAACGTACGTAAGTCGCTTGAAGTGTTCACAAAAACACCATTGTAAAGTGCCTCTGTATATTAATTTCGGTCTAAAGCGATTTTGTTTTCTGTTAATATTTTTATATGGAGTTAGTAGTTTACTGTAAGTACTGAGTAGATGTTTGGGCGAAAAGTTTAAATTGGAAAATGATCCTAGTGACTTTGGAAATAAGCATGGTTATTGATATTGCGCAATAACCGGAGTTGTACTGTTGCGCAACAATTGTAATAACATGCGTGTTCCAAGCGGGTGTATTGTGAAGCCCAGACAGTAATGCAGACCTATACAAAGACAGTGCCTTCTGCATACCAGTGATCCTAGTCCATGTGGCTGCTTTACTGAGCAGTCAGTCGCGCGAGCATTTATTTTTATATTGTGATAGCAAGAAAAAATATATTTATTAACACAGAGCACAATTCGAACTTAACGTTCATTGTTATATCTTGTCTAACAAGAAGTTCAAATCTCCAGAATGGTAGTTTCTAGAAAGGCCGTTACGATGCGAAATGTAATGGACTTCCCTTAGATTTGTAGTTTTCTCTACTTCATTATATTCGGTCAATGTTTATGAATTTTGATTGTTTGAAAGTTTGTAGTATTTATTCGCTTTTGTAGTGTGATGGTACCGTCGTAGTAATCTTGTCTATAAGATTAACTTTAGAAGGTATAGTTTAGTGTTTCCGGAAGGTCTATTCGTTGTCACGTTAGTGTTGGTCAGTAAATTATTACATCTCGGAACGAGCGTGGTTCTTGTCACCAAAATAATGATGACTTTATACAAAACGTCAGTATTGAAACCAGTTTCCTAGATATCAAATATCGCCTATAAAAGTTTGCTAATGACTGAATAATTACTTGTATTACCATTACTGGTTCCATTCTCTTCCGCTGCATGTAATAATGTTATTTGATCAACGTGTGACGTCATATTCTATTTAATTTATCTGTGTATCTCTGCTGCCCTCTCGTGGACAGTTGTGATAGTACATTACTATTGCATAACATTCGGTTGTAAGTTATATGACGACTAGTATTACATTTGTTTAACGATTTATTGTTGTTACAAAATAAGATTTAACTTTATAATTTATATACGAGTATTCGAATCAATTTTTATAATAATCTGTTGTTATATCTTGCTATTTAAGTCTGCTATGTACTAATGCTTTGATATTCGAGTCTTTTTAAATTTTTTCTATAGATTTACAAAATAATTTGAACACTCATAATTATTCGTTAAAATTAAAAATTTTAATTAAGTCACAAAGTGATTAAAATGTAATCATATTGTACCATAATCATGTAAGGACCGTTGTTTGTTATAATATCAAAAAATAATAATTCGTATTAGGTTTTGTAAGTGTTGTAAACATCACTTGTACCTGCTTCATAAATATAAATATTTTGACAGTCAAAGCAAAATTATTGCGCTTATATATTGAAGAATAAATCATTATATTGCATACAAATTTGTTTGATTTTCTTCTTTACTAAACCAAGCATATCCCTAACAATATAAATTTATTTTTATATTTAGCATGGATTTTATCTTAGTAATGAAACAAGAAGTAATTAAAAACTGATATTATTTAATATCACAATAAGGGCTTACATATCGAAATGTATTGAATATCTTACGTGGCTAATGTAGCGAGCATTACTGAACAGAATTTCAATCATACACAACACAATCTCACATTTTGTTATTTAGAAATGAACCGGTCTTTGTTGAGACTAGAAATTATTATCTATATCTTCTTGCAGTTCTCAAAAAGTGCAACTTTAAGGAATGGTGAAATGAAATTATTTAGAACTAACATTAAAACTTATTAAATTACATTCCAAATCAGGTAAAAGAAGCAGAAATAAAATCGAGAAAGTTAAGTAAGACACATCAATCACGAAACTATTTCTTAATAAAACTTGTAAGTAAGGGATTTTAAACCTTACGGTAAAAAAAAACAATCATTTTCTTTAAATTTGAAAAGTAGGTCATTGGTGGTATCACAATATCCACATTTTAGGAAAAATAAAACACCTCTTTTGTTGAATTCGGACACATGACAATAAGATTAGGCCAAATGAAAGGCAAAGATTTGATTATAATACTTAAAATTGAAGTTAAAACCCTGAACAGCCTTAGTACTGGACAGATATTTACAATTTACTAATAGTAATAAGATACTATGTTGCTATGTACGAGGTAGAATACACAATACTTCAATACATATTAAGGTACTACTATACTAACCATACAATCATATCTAATAATACACTTTTTGAGAAATGCTACAAATCTACTATTTTACTATGTATTGACTACCGCAAAAACAGTAGGATAAGTTGTTACCGTTGTCCGATGATCTTCCAAACTGCATAGACGTCGCCAACTACCTATAAATTTAAAAAAAACGTTCGTTAGAAATACGTTAAGTTTTATAAATTGTCTTGACGCCCATAGTGTTATAGCGAAACATTCACAATATAAACAGTGTAGGTAATGGGATTGTTACGGAAAGTCTAGAATATTTTAAAAGACTATAGAATCTATAAATACACTAGAATATGATTTAGTTCGAATGTATGATAGTTAAAGTGATGTGACTAAATTTATACACAATTTGATAATGGGTCTAAGACAGAGGCTTCTTCGGAAACGCGAAAATATCTTTTTTGGAAACGCGAAAATATCTGTTGAGCTTTGTGATGTATATGAAAGTTAATAAGTGTCGAGTATTTAAAAAATTATGAGGATTAGTCATAACATTTATTGTTAGGCTAGTACAAAGTGAATAGTGCGATGATTGAATGGAAAATGCAGTGCATCTGCGGAAATAGTGTTACATATGAATTAGCTTTTGGATAGAAAACTGACATAAAGACGAGTTTAGGTTCTAGGGATATACCCTTTTTATGTATTGATAATGACACCGGGGCTCTAGAGCTATAGAATATCACACTTTCAAAGGACTTCCTTTTGTTGATAGTGACTTGAGAGCGTTTATACTGAAGTACCAGATTCTCTTTTTTTTAAAAGTTCGTGCTTTTTTACAGTCTATAGTTGAAAGTATTCCTTGGGCTTTTGACTAGGAAGTAATCCAGATAAATCCGGGTTTCTAGCAGTATCTGCCAATAATTTTCCGATACCAATCCCATTCGTAAGATGTTCTTATATGTACAAGTTGTAATGAAAAGTAAAGCGAGTGTTGTATCAGTATTAATGAGTGCCCGCAAAAGCGTCGTGTTCGCTATTGGCTATGTGCGCGACAATGGCAACGCGTAGCGTTTATAACATTTGCGGAAGCTGTCAAATAATAACAATGTAAAACCAAAGATTTAAATAGTATTGTTGACATTAAGTAAAATTTATTCAATCGTTTTACTGTAAAATAAATATATTATAATAATAAAAACCGACAGCTGATCATCCGCATTTGTTTCCAATTTCTGCTGTGTTGTGCGCTGCGGTCGTTACCTGTCCGCCACTACTGGCTTTGCACATAGCCAATAAGGACTGCATCGATCTTGCATATGACGTTTTTTACTAGTGGTCAGACCAAGAGCGATAGCATCCATTCCACACGCACGTTCGTAATAAGGTACAATTGTACGAACGCACGAAAGTGTACGAAGCTAAACCAATTGATTGTCGATGTACCTTAAACCACTTATAGCCGAATAAAATGTATTAAAATAAATAAGAAAATAGCACTTTTTCTTATGTACATGAAGTGGTGAATAAAGTAAATATGTAGTGTAATGAGCAACCGATATCATATAGCACAAGCACAAAATGTTAATACAAAGTCAACCTATAATATAGCAATACGTATATACTAGCAATACCTTTACGAAATATTCTCTACCTGACTCGTAAAGTTTGTGATTTGATATAAGTCGATCCATAATGAATACTGCAAATCTACTACTAATACCTTAAATCAACGTGAACTTCTAGTATAGACTAAATTAATAATTCGTAAAGGTAACTTGCACCTTAAAATAATGAAACTGCACCTTATTACCTAGAATTATGATGATAGATGAAAAATAATTGCTAATCAATAATTAGTAGGTTGGTTATCCCAAGCTTGTTAGCGTGGATGAATGACTATAATGAATAAATGCGAGTAACATGGTGTTAATGTTAGATACAAAATTAACAAACTGCGTACGTTTCGGAAGCCAGAGTTAGATAGCTCGCGTCTCCTTTACTCTATGCCTTCAAACGCTGGTGACAAAAGAAAATATATTTACTCCAGAGTCTTAACTTCACATCATATTGGTGATTCCAGTGAAGTTTTCTTCTATTAATATAAATGTCATATTAGGTGACATGACTTTATGATATTGAAATGAATGTTACTCCATACAGTTGCTCATATTTATTAATTCTGTCCCGATTACAACACTTGACAACTTGTTTGCAAAATGATTACATAATGGAGAAAATGAGGATTTTCGCGCCACCAAAGGCGCTAGTGTAAGTTAAGGACTAGTGCGAGTCAGTAGCTAGCCAACTTGTAATAGCTAAGCTTATTAGACTGACAGGACCTTAAGCTTTACTAGCGTCATCTAGTGAGCGCAAAATCAATAATCTTCAGTTAAAAAACCAATGCACTGTTTACTAAATTAAACTGTATAGAGTAATTACTAACACAATAATGAGTTGAAATAGCAAAAAAGGAACAGCATTATAGAAACATACCATTTGGCTCGTTTCGACCAATCTTTCGGTGTCCAGTGAAGACATTTGGGATCGATGCGTAGCGTTCTTTTTTCCATCGCCTTTTCATGTTGCTGCAAGGTTTCCTATCATGATTAAAAACATATCAAATTCACGATAAATACATTCGCTTGAGTTTTAAAATAAAATGATAGTTCACCTCATTGACCGATATAATATATTGGCCCTTGTAGTAGTTTATAAGGTTCAAATTCTGTAGTGTACTTATAACATCCTCTTTCTTTATGCTGGTTAGCTCGCAGATCTCGCTGAAAAATTGTAGTTCAAAAGTTTAGATATTGTCTGTAGAAATGGGAAAAAAAAGAAAAATTGTTCCATCGATTTAATTGAGGAAGGGTATTGTGACTTTAGGTATTTGAACTTTGAAAGAAACATAATTTTCTATTTCGCTTAACTTTATAGTAGGAAGACTACACAGACTACAGCCTTACAGTTTGTTTGTTTTGTAAGTAGTCAGAAAGGAAATCACGACTTCATTATTTTTTTTATGTTATGTTGTCGAGTAAAAGTTTTAAGTGTCAGTGTGTAAAGTTTTTACAGAAAATTTTGTATTTATTTGTTTTTATAGTAAATTTATTATTTATCATACATTAAAAAGTTGTAGTGTTGATAAATTGGTGTTATAGTTTACGGATTTTACTGTAGCTCTAGCCAAACCAGAGACGTTTTTGTAGTTATGACTCCCGTGTAAGTTTACTGCTTTATCTTCCATAATCCGAAACTGATCACTGCTAGGCCATAGCTCAGCATGCGTATAGGCTAAGTACGAGCTTAAAGGTTCATGAACGTCGCAATTTGAAAGATGGTACAAACAAGTCTTCGCAGTTGGTGTATACCCCCTCATTCATTCCCCAGGATCTCGCAACGTTCAAATCATAACCTCCAAAAGGGCGGCAGCGCACTCGTTACTGACTGCTTAACATTTACAATACCACGTGGGCACGTCTGATCCCAGATCCCATTATCCCATAAAATAGTGGCAAATGCATTCTACCGTTTCTTTGGGAGATATCTGTCGAAAAATGGAAAAAAAATATAATTCTTACTTGATGGTAATAATGGGTTTTTCGTTATCTCCGACCGGTTTGATGTGTGTAAGAATATCCAATATAGTCTGAGCCCAGTAACTCCTGTACGACAACAAACCAAGATCGGATAGAGGTTTCTCGGGTGATCCAGTCTTCCCTTCAAACTTTGACAATTCGTAACCTGAAAAAATACAAGCTGGCGTTTCTTTCCAAAGTAACAAAATTAAGATTCGAGGGTAACCAGTCTGAAGTAGACCATTGTGGCATTTTTTATGAGTTAGGCTCGAAGGCTCGTTAATAAGGCTCGAATAAAGATAAGACGTCGTCTGATTGAGGTTATAGGAGGCCCCAATTCTTAACAACCCACAAAAGGGGTGCAACACACTTGAAACTCCTCTGGAATTGGGGGTGTTCATTGGTGATTTTTATACTTTAAAAATACAGGTGTTTTTCAAATGGAGACGTCGAGGAAGGTTGATGTTAAAGAAAGAGCTGACAGGCCCCCGAACGAGGAGAAATGCGACGGTTTTTAGCCAGAAGTCATTGGATGATTTTACCCCCTCAAACAGAAAAAAGGTGCAAAATGTACTTACTAAATTCTATAAGAAGTTTTCCATAACCTTTCCTTTGGTATGGAGGCAGTGTCAGTATACAAGCGACGTTGTAGTCTTCTGTACTCTCCTTCTCTTTAGAAAAGTATCCTACTATGTGAAATCCTGAAATAACAAATAGTAAGTGTAAATCAAAATGTTTCTTAAAATGATTAGTGTTCATATTATTATATTAATGATGTCTGATTTAAATCTATACTCATGTTATAAAGAGGTAAAATTGTTAAGTTTGTATCATTGAAACCGCTGGTTGGATTTCCAAAATTCTCACACATAGATAGCTACAATACACCTGAGTGATATGGCTATAAACTATACTTGATTTGCGTATTTTATTCGAGCTATTGCTATTTAAACCAGTTGTTTTTATAATCCCGGAATACATTACTTTTATTTTATGATTTGAATCAACTTAATATTAAGGCTTTTGACTCAATAGATGATGCTCTTCATTAAATAAGTTTACTTGTACGTGTCTTTACAGCTTAGAGTTGTTGTATAGCATCAAAAATAATAGGACACTAGAAAAGATCTTGAGCTACTTAAAAAAAAACTACACTCATAGTTGAGATCTTTTGAAACGATGAAATGGAAAATCAAAACTGTTATCAATCAAAAACCAACTTTTATCAGAGAAATTAAAATACAAAATCCTGTAACACCAAAACAACATACCTCTGGCATCAAATTCTGTCATAACGTAGAATAAGAAAGGGTCCGTATCGTAGTACAATGTTTTATGGTCCAAGAACAGTTTGGCTAGTAAACAGAGATTCTGAGCGTAACATTTGTTTTTTCGTCCGTCTATCTCGAAAAATGATATACTGCCTTTGCGGTATATTTCATTGCCGGGTGGGTGTTTTAGTTTGCATTTGATCTGAAAAAAAGGTAGTTTGTATTAATTTATGAAAGAATATTATAAGTATTGTATTAATAATAATTTTAGTATTTATAATATTACTAATATTAACATTATAGAGAGAAAAAGATAGAGAAATTGGGCATCGAATAGCATTGGAACACCTATTCTATTTTATCATCAAAATGTCATCTGATTAATAGAAAAAAGGTTTATTGGCAGATACACAAAGCTCAGTAGGTACCATAGAGATTGAAAAGTTGAATAAAAGAAGTAGGAAATTAATCTGAGACTTTGTTTTATATTAAAATAATCTCCATTACCGGTTTTAATAATGTAAAACAAAGTCCGTTAGGTTTGCAATCAATTTGGATAATCTCATATTACACTGTCAGTAGCTTGAGCTTTAAATAAAACAAATTAAACTAATAACTTACCAAATGTCTTTCAAGGCACTTTTTACTTTTTCTGTACTTCAAACAGAATTCACATATGTAAATACAAGGCAGGTTAACCATTTCCTGGAACATATCATTTATTAAGTACATAAATAAGTTGTAGGCAAACAAGTATAATAATACATTGATAGTTGTAAGCCCTTACGACACCCACGCGAAGAAAAGAGATGGAAAAATAATATAAAGTCAAAGTCAAGTCAAATAATTTATCTCAAACAGACCAACCATAGACAGGTTTGAATGTCAAACAAAAAAATAATATCAAGAAGTTTAAAGTCAAAGTCAAAATCATTTATTTCAATTAGACCCATACAGGCACTTTTGAACGTCAACACAACTTTAAAGATACAAAGTGTCAGTCTGTCGGTCAGTCGTCTTAGTGAAGCTATTCGCTCGTTCCAAAGTGTAGATTCCAATGGACTTTAACTTTGTGTATCAGTCTGTCAGACTGTAATCTAGTTACGCTATTGGTTCATTCCAAAGTGTAGATTCCTATAGAGAATAACTAGCAAGAAACTCCATCATAACTCCTTTTCAATTTCACAATTCATATAATAATATTATAATAAACAACATCTACCGTTTTACCAAACAACTAGAAGTACTTGACAGCAGTTTTGAGAACAAAGTCAAAGTAAAAGTCAAAATCATTTATTCCGACTAAACCATAAATAGCTACTTTTGAAACGTCAAAATCTATATATACAAAATAAAGTCGTGTTAGTTACTCCACTTATAAATCAAGAACGGCTGAACCGATTTATTTGAAAATTGGCAGGGAGGTAGTTTAGAGCCAGGAGAAGGACATAGGATAGGATAGAGTAGGTAATGTAGGTTAGGTAGAGTAGAGTAGGTAAAGTAGGGTAGGTAGTGTAGGGTAGGTAGAGTAGGGTAGGTAGAGTAGAGTAGGTAGAGTAGGGTAGGTAGTGTAGGGTAAGTAAAGTAGGGTAGGTAGAGTAGGGTACGTAAAATAGGGTAGGTAGAGTAGGATAGATAGTGTAGGTTAGGTAGAGTAGAATAGGTAGGGTAGGGTAGGTAGAGTAGGGTAGGTAGAGTAGGGTAGGTGGAGTCGAGTAGGTACAGTAGGGTAGGTAGAGTAGGGTAAGTAGGGAAGGTAGTCAAATGACGGGAGCGACGCCGGGGGTAAGAGCTAGTAGAATATAATTCTGTCAGTCTGTTCGTCAGTGAAGCTACATTACAAATAGTTACACACCTGAGGATAAGGGGCGAAATACCACGGTCGTATCCGATTCCTTCCTAATTCAATCATCTCAATATTCTTCATACGTGTGACAAGGTCGTCGTGTCCATGAGCGACCATACTGCCCGACTGCCTCGGCCTAGTGGTAGGGGTGGCGGTGCCACTAGCCGTGTTCTCACTCCCTTCATTCTCAACAGACGGAACTGGTTCCGCCTGAAAAGTTTTAGAATTTTGCTTGGGCTCCTGTAAATAATTGCTTTTATTTGACTGGTTGGTTTTCACTGGTTTTGATTTACCTGTTTGTGCGTAGGTAGGTAACCTGTTTGTGGTGGTAGAAAGTGTTAGCTTTTACTCCTAAAGGGAGTTTTCTGCTTCACTCTTTGTGGTATTTAAGCGACATAGTTATATCACAGACACAGTTATATCACAGACACAGTTATATCAATTTAACTATATTAATATGCATCACTTGAGAGGTTTTTTTTTTAAATATTTTATTTCTTTTGATTAATTTCTTAAGTATTCTCTTTATACAATATGCTTCTATGTTTCTTTAGGAATTAATCTTTTATGTTATTAGGGTAACAATGTAAGATATGACATAACAAATGTTGTAATACCCTTCACCGAAACACACACATTAAAAACAACTTTTAAAATAGAAAGCATACTTCATTGTCTATAGATGGCGCTTTCCGTTTCCTATTCATTTTCTTCTGCAAAGCAGCCGCAAGTACAGCTCCGCCATTGACGAGCGACGACGAGTCGTTGCCCAACGTTGGGCTTGCTGGACGAGACACCAACTGACGCGGCTCACCGGCAACCACACCTTACACATTAAAGTTAGACAAAACAATGAAAAATCACATAAAAACATGCGAAAAACAGTCTATGGTTATAAAAATAAAGCTAATTTTTATATGCTGTTTTAAATGTTGAAGAGTATGTGAATGCAGCTTTAAATAAATGATGTAAATAAGTACTTACTTATTACTATATTGTTTAACATGATATAAATATTTTAAGCATAGATGCAAAGCATATATTATAAAAAACAATGAATTAATTATCACCTTCCATTTTGTTCCTTAAATAATTTTTACAAAAGGATAAAGCTATATAGGTCCTGAACATAAAGGGACTATGGACCAATCAATCTTCAAACACTTTAATAATAACATTGAAATGGTTCAGAATAAGTGTTTGTTGAACGTAAGACGAGAACCAACCTTATTGCTATGTTATAAGTACTATTATACTATATATATCAAACAAATAAATCCAATCACCATCTATTGCAAATATTGGACAAACACTAAAGCTGGGCACTCACTATTTTGGGATATACAAAACTTGTCAATGTAATATCTGATTTGGAATATAACATGCATCACATTAAAGTTGAAAAAAGCTTGCCGGACACATTGTTTTCGAGTCCCTACATAAAATATTACTATCAAGACATTTTAGCAATTATGGTATAAGCTATGTATTAAATGGGGGAACTATCTGATATCCATTCACTTGGTTTCAACATGCTTGGGTTTATCTATACCCAAATAAATAGTATAATATATGAAGGTTACATAAATTTACTAAGGATTTCTGAGGCACTAATTATGAAATAAATTGCATAAATAAATTCCATAAATATTTCACATATAATAATAGATTTGTAGGAAGAAAATGTAAAGGGGTTTTATATATAGTTATTGCATATCCTGTTTCTTTATAGAATACATACAAATATGTTTTTGTATGTTTCTAAACATGAATTCAGGAAAAACATACAATGCTGTAAAATGCAAAGCACACAAACATAATTTAATTATAAATTTCAACGTACCGAGTGCATTTTTTGGCGTTGAACCATTGAGTGCATTTAAATGGGCTTTCTCATGAACTTTAGGTTGGGGTGGACTTGGCTGAACTTGTTGGTTCGCAATAGTAGGTCTACTCGGTATGGTACTAGACTTCTGACTTTCATTGCAGACAGTGTCATCTGCAGAAAAAATGTTACATTTAATGGCCAATTGTCATGACAATGAGTTTTAGTATCATGATATTACGATGGTAAACTGTGATTATGAGAAACATGTTAGTCAGCGGCCATTGTATGTAGCTAACAATCAATTGAAAATTACACTTAACTATGCATTTGCTTAAAATATTCTAAAGACTAAACAAATTAATTGACTTGTACAAAGCAATCTCTTTAATTACTACAACACATTAAACATGCATGAAATTTACTGTAGCGGCAACAAAAACAATCTACCATCATAAAGGAAATTTTGAAACTTTAAGCCAATTGCAGTCAAAAGGCTAGTAAATATTAAGCTGATGATATATCACCATCACTCAATAAACCTTCTTTAATATTATCCGTTGTCTTTTTGCCCAGGAACCCGGAAAAATATGAAGGTAATCAAATTAATGGCTGTAATGATGAAATGAAATAAAACCACCAAGTTTTCTAGATAACAACAAGCAATTAGACAAATTACTATTAACAAATTACCTTAATTGGTAGACAAATAAAATAATTTGCGTAATAATTTTCAAATTACTGTACCAGAGTTTGGAATGGAGTAATGAACATCCAATGTCGAATAAAGCAAAAATACATACTAATAAAATTGGGCATGACGCCACCTCCTGATCCAATGTGAGTCTTCTTTGGAGTTGTTGTTCCCCCCGTTGACACTCCATCTCTTCTTGGAAACTGTACCTTTCTCGTGTCCAACCAGGATTCACCCACCCACTCATCGAGACGTTTGTTAACTAAAAAGTTGAGGAAAAAATTAACGATTACCAGAATAAGCGCAAACATATGCAATAATACACAAAAACTTGCATTTTACTAAGTTAATAAGGCTAATTGTGAGCCAACTATTATCTCACTTATAATAGTGTATATGTTTATGTAGTTGAGTAACATATTCTTCCATTTTCAAGACATAAACTAGCACTTCCGTTAGTGGTTAACACACATTTTAATAAATTATGTTGCATTCTTATTCATCATACTCTTTTGGTTAAAAAATAACATATATATTGTGATTAGAAGCATATTTACAGTATAAATTGGTAGCTTTCGCAGCTTAAACCGCCTAAATACAGATTTGTTGCGTTTAGAAGACGGACATGACTGAGCTAACACTTTTGTAAACAATACTTACAGTCCACATAGTGCACATAATATCCTCTTTGTCCACGTATTTCTTTAATACTTATAATTTCAGCTAAAGGCCAGTCATCACCTCCTTGCATACGCACAGGCAGACGACATCCTTCGACAAGAGATGCCTACAAAAAACAACACAACAACAAGTGAAAATAAAATATCATTTTTTCTGGATTTTATTCTTTCTAATAATAAATAAATTACCGCCGAATCACAAAATGTGGTCAGCTCATCTTCGTTGTCGTTCATTTTCTAGAAAAACATAAATAATTTTCCAGAATAATTGGCTTGTTTCTGCTATATTCTGTCACTGTCACAATGAACAAAATGTCTGTTGCACAGCACAGACAATAAATCCGACGACGCCATTAAAAGCGTTCCAAAGAAACCTTATATATATCTCGAGCATTACATGTTCAATTATTTTGATTTGAACCAAACGGGTAATTTTCATTTGTATTTATTTAATTCATATAAATTTCTATTATAAGCAACATTTGAAAATTTAACTGCATTGCTAAAAACTGATCTCTTTTAATACAATGAAAATATAAGATTGTCTCAAGCATTATAAAACAACCACAGCGTGGTATTTTGCTGTGTGAGTGAGGTTACTGGATGCCCAATACCTGAATCTCTAAAAGCTCTAATCCGCAAAAAGCTAGCAACGCACTTGCATAGTTTTTGATACAGACGGCTGTGAGTGTTCAGTGTTTAACTGTGTAGAATAATTTTAAAGTCAACCGGAAGACCTGATCAAAAACACGCCTTATACAGTTTATAAAATTTAAAAAGGAAGAAAACCAAGCTTTGTATTTTAATTTTGTTAAAAATATCTATGTCATTTATACATTTATATATACTTCCTCATAAAGTGGATCTAATCCCACAGCAATTAGGCACGTAATTGCACTTATAATCAAACTGTGACTTTTTCATTACTATTATGCACAAGTAAGTACCTAATAGAGTTTTTTTTAATTACCTATTATTGGTTCAGTTACACTTGCGCTAAAATGCTAACAACGAAAACATAAAAAAGAAATATCATTTTTTAGTCTATGGCCGATGCGCGCGCATAGGAATTATCATAGGAATACTACTTATTTTTCCCGCCATCACGAATATTTTTTCACAACTCGTCTCGTTTTTTATATAATATTAATTATGTATTATTTTGTTCAGAAGTGTGTTGAAAAACATCGTGTGATACACGTATTTATTGATGGTAGACAGAAAGTTTCGACTAAATCCCACAGTTGTTGATTGCCAACCATCTATGGGATGTGGATGAAAAAATTTTCCTCGTAGAACGATGGCAAAAAGATGCGGCGGGGATCAAACCAAACAATTCCTCATAACACTCACCACGATGTTATATGCGATAGAGAACACATAGAGAGGCTACATCCTTACGTAGTGCCGAAGAGTTTAGCCGATCCGAGACAACAAGGTAGCGATTTGAAGAGCTTGTCGCTGATTGCGATCCATAGGAAGAAACTGCGAAGTGCAAAGAAGTGGAGGCCCGAAGATGAGCACAGTCTTGAAAAGTAAGTGATTTCGGTTTGGCTAGTAGATATGATTTCCATCCGTCACGTATGATTCGGCTCGTGTGATATCAGTTCGTCTTGTGTGATTTCGGTTCGGTTAATTATTTCGTTTACTCTCTTCCTTGTTCGCTCGTTTTTGTGTTTAATAGTCCATTTATAGGAATGTTCAAGGTCAATAAAACGTTACGCTACGACTAGTGGGGTTAAGCAGCGGGTGAAACCGCACGGGATTAGCTAGTATCAGATAAAGCTGAAACCAGTTAGCCTCAGATGCCTACATTTAACAATATTCATTCCTATTCATATTGTAAAAAATATTCGCAAATCTTAATCGATATAATTATATTAATTGCTGCTTAAGCTTTAAGTACCTACAGTGCGGTCGACGTATCTTGGCGAGTCTGAAGTTAGCCGTTTGTCTGCGCAATGGATCTTTTAGGAACAAAATTGTGTACTGCGCAGCTAATCGGCTAACTTCAGACTCGTCAAGATACGTCGGCCGCATTGTAAGTTAAAACGTGTTTTTGGAGAGAAATACCTACAATTGGTATACCTCATACCGTAAGTGATATTACTGTCCAACTTTTGACACGACTTCTTGATACCGTTGGTATGTCCTGAAAATGTTATTGGTGTATTAATGACTTAACCAATAAAATTTTTTAGTCAGTCAGAGGGAGTTTACTGGTTTTTAGTCAGTAAGAGTCTGACACTCCATCCCGCCCAACCCTGGACAGGAGAAGTAATTTGATGATATTACGGATTACCTCCCACCTCCTATTAAAAAAAACTAAATAAAATAACTTACATTGGTCATGTTCTCAAACCGTACTGGAAACATTACCTACGAAGAACGGAATAAGACTTTCACGCATTATGGAAATTTTTTTAGTTGATTTTGCAAATTATCTACATCAACACTCCCCAATGATAATTACCACTACACCTTTTTTTTTATTAAAATTAACGTTGCGCGACACTAGGATTTTTCCCGTGTCGTGGGTGCATTTATAAACATTTCTATCTTATTTCACATACCTACAAATCACACCCAGATCCGGAACAACAATTTGTGTTAATACAAGGAACCCGCGCGACAAGTAGCGCGGCAGCCCGCAGCGTCAACGTAGGTACAACCTTTAGTTGAACTAAATGAACCAAACCCCAAGTAATTTGTTTTATAAATATGTAATGCTGTCTTTCAACAAATTTTAATTAATTTGGACCACCAAAACTACCTTTTCCCAGCTTTTGAAAAGCATATAGTAGGAATATATACCTAAAATAAATCTAGAAAAAATAAAATGTCTACCTGATGGATAAAAAACTGTTTCCAAGTTACTTAAATACCTGAAACCCTTATCTCTAAAAGGCCAGCAATGCACTCGTTACTCCTTTGGTGTTGAGGTGTCCTTGGGCGGCGCTTATTTCTATTTCTTATCATCAGGAAATCCGTCTGCTCGTTTGCCGACCTATTCCATAAAAAAGTAGCTGTTCGCGGAATACATTAATGAATACTTAATTCTTAAAAGGGGCGCCAAACGTCTCACGTGGTTAGGGCACAAACTTTGATATATGTATCGGTTCGATTATGTTTGTGCATTTTTTAGGTAATGTGTGAAAAGTAGATACTTTCAATACATTTTGCTCTTTCTCGAGCCCCAGGCTGGGGCTCCGGTTCATTATTACGCTTGCATCCGCAACCCGAATTGAAGTTATGAGCAAGAGAAGAGAGCAAGGTTGTATTACTGTTACCTTGTTAAATAAAAGAGACAATGTATTCGTTATAAATATACTTTATTACATTTGGTTTGAATATTTAGGTTTTTTGCAGTAGGGAACACATTTTTTTAGTTATAATCGAATTGCTTTGAAGTTGCTGCGTCTTTAGCGAAATTCGCGCCTCTCAGCAACCAGCCGTATCCAGGCTGCGGTCTTTGTTCGCCTATAGGCCTGTCATCAGCAGACGCGAATTGGGCTAGGAACATACGACGTGGTTTGTCGGATAAGTTCGGCGTGCTGCCATGAACAAGGAAGTAGGAGAAAATGACTACATCACCCCGATCAGCAATAACGGGTGTAGCTTTCTCGATTGGGAACTTTTTCTAAAAAAATAAATAAAATTTGTTAATTTACGATCTTAAAAACTGATTAATAAAAAATTACTTAAGAATGATTTTACCTGATCGACAAAATGGAAGTTACCCTGAAGTTTTCCTACGTCCTCTAAAGGTCCGAGTTTATGTGAACCAGGGTACACAAGTAGTCCGCCATTTTCCGGAGTCGCTGGGTCTAAGTGAATGAACACTGCTACCATGGAATCTTTCTGATAAGGAAAGTAGGGGTAATCCTGAAATTGAAATTTGAGGTCATTATCGAATTATAAATTGCGCGAAAGAAGAAAAATGATTTGGCCTCCGGTAACCTAACTCACAAAGCGGGACACAACGCGGTGGTTTTTTCACGGTGATTTGCTGTAAGATCATGGTATCACTCCGGTCGAGCCGACTCATTCGTGTTTAAACATGGGTTTCTCACACTTGCATGACTCTACTGGTTACTAGGTTTACACAAATAAACCACAATCAATCAGATCACGACCAGAACAAAGATTTCGCAAAATATAACTAACTAGCTATGTTACCTTTAGTGGAACGAGAACATATATACTTATTAGGTATATTTGATTATTCTTACTTGACATTCAAAAGTAACTGCAATCAATGGTTTAAAAATGATTTAATTTTGAATTACCTGGTGCATAGGATACGAAGCCCCTTTCTCAGGCGGTTTAAAGTGCGCTTTGGTGTGGTGCAACATGATATTCTCAGTCTCCATCACATCTTCTAGAGCGTCCAATATCTCGTCATTGTATAGCAGCTTTCCAAATACCGCGTGATGATGTTGCAGGTTGTGAACTCCTTTTACCTGAGACGTAAACAAAATTCATAATATAATTTAACGTGCTTCATAGCACCTGGGTACCATTTAGTAGGAGTTCGTAGCCGGTGAATGAAAATAATTGGTTAATTTCTTAGACAAATTTACATATTAAGTTCCAAATATAATTATTGGACGACAAGCAGGTGAGACAAGACAGCATAGGTATATTCGCGTGCCTCAAAGGGCTTATGTTCAGCCGGGGTTGCGGGTTAAGCACAATAAGTCACCGCGGCCTCGGCCCAGTGCAGGAGAAGGAACGGGGGGGTTTTTAGTCAGTAAGAGTCTGACACTCTTTCTCGCTTTACCCTGGGCGGGAGAGGTCATTTGATGATATTCCCCTGACAAAAAACCTATTTCTTCAATTTTAGTAAAATGTTTCTCCAAAAGTTTTCTGTGGAAAATGTTTCTCCAAACATCTGTTTGGTTTGGATACTCATTTCTGCAAATGAACACACAGTTACCTACCTACTTTATCAAATAGATAAATCTTCAAAATAATTAAATACCTATTAGATTTTTATGATGGAAGTTATATTTCATTATTAGAAGACAATTTTGAAAAAATCTCATATTTTATTGATTAAGTCAAATTCACTCCGATTATAGATTATCATTTCAGTACAATTAAGTGTGTTGCTGTTTATGTTTAAATTTAAATAAATTTAATGATCTTTATTAATCTGTAACCAATAACAAAATTATTTTAAATTATTTACAATCAGATCAGAAGACGCTGACTTTCGTCACTAACCTACTTATCATCATCATACATAAGCGATTACATAGATGCAACTCGAGTAGGTATAATTAAGATAATGGACTTAGAAAAAATAACTTTAAAC